CTTTCTACTCCTCTAAGCACTGTTTTATTTCGAAACATCCCTACAAAACCTATGGGGAAATAGCATAAAATGTCACAATAGCGCAGTCATCCAATTGTACAGTCCTTTAAAACAGTAATTTTAAGTGCTATAGAATAAGATCTACACAATTAAAAACTGAGTGACAAGAACTAGCTATGAGTAAAAGTCAGTTCATAGCTTAGCATCCTAAGGTAATTTTTAAAATAAATATCCAATGCAGAGTCAGTCACCTAACTAATGTATTCACTGAAAGCAGGGACACCACTCACTATATTGTGTATGAGCCCATAGGCTCTTAAGGAGCTGAAGATTTTTTACAGAATTCAAGACATTTATCATCATTAATCTTACTGTTCTACCATGGCCAAATAATGACTATTAATATGAACCTTCTGTTTTCATACTCAGTACTAGTTCCACAAGTCCACGCTGTTTATTCAATACTCTTGAATATGAGGATGTGCAATAGTCTAAATAGAGCATCCTAGCACAGGTTGCGGGCCTTTTTTTCCTTTTTCTCTTTTAAGCTTTTTGGTTTGCTCCACTTCAGCTGGGACAGTACCACCAGGAAGCCATTCAAAATAATTCACATTTAAGTAGCGCAGTGACTGCCAGTCAGATACATTGCATGTAATGCACCTTCCAGTTGCAAAGTTGTGTAGATTAATGGTGTACTACAGAAAAAAGTTCTGCTAGGGGAACAAACTAACTGTAGTACATGTGTAAGAAATGGCTGATTGACAGCTTCCCCATCATGAGAAGCTACAGCTCCATCAGATGCTGTAGACAGCAATAAAAGCCAGCTGAATTGGCCACTAGAAGCACAGGATAACAGGATGGGTTATATTAGTGCTGTGGTGACAAACTACAAAGCTAAAGTTTGAGAGACAGAAAAATCCAAGTATTTTGCTTTTAATAAACCTGGAAAATGGTCAATAAAATATACCCTAAAAATGCACATTTTAACAAACATACCTCAATTTAAAGGAATAAAAATTAGAAGTTTCACTTGTTTTCTGTTATTTACTCCTTCCATTATTCCATTGAAATGCACAAGTATCATTGGCAACATATGTAGCCAAGTACCAAAATACAGAATTCTCTTTGGAATAGTACAGAATACTTTTCAAATGTCTCTTTTCACGGTTAAAGTACTTTAAACCTTAGATTGAGAACAAGGAACTAAAGTTTTAAATGGCTTCATTAGAGACCTCTTTTAATCACAGATAATATCAAAATTAATATCGTGTTTCTCCCCAACAAAACTTGCACTTTAAATATTCCTTCCTATCACCAATTGGTGTCTTAGCCCATAACACAAAGGGAAATAGCTGTAATTTTAAATACATTATATGTAGGAACAAACATGCACTTACCAAGTGAACATAAGGCACAAAGTATCCAAACAGTGCAGCTGGGATCCCAAAAGCCCAGATTCGGTAACTGAGAACTTTGAAAACAGAGAAATTGCAAATCTTTTTGTCAGGAGGAAATCTGAACTTTCCCTTTTTTCCTCCCTCCTTGTCTTTGGTGTTGGAAACAAGGGGTTTGTATGTGAAGCCAGCCAGGAACAGAACAAACATAAGGATGCAGAGGACCCGCAGGGTGTTGTACAGGCCGACAGAGTCGAGGGAGACTCTCAAGACGAAGGGCAGGGACACAGTGAACAAGCTGCTGCCTGCGGTGACAATGCCATTCACCAGCCCAAGGCGCTTCTTGAAGTAGTGCCCAAGAATGACCAGGGATGGCTGGTATGCAAAGGAGCAGCCGCAGGCAAATACGATCCCGTAGGTGAAATATAGAGGCTCAATGGTGCTAGAGAGTAAGAAAAGAGAAAAAAAATCATTACTGTTTTGTACAACACTTATGTTTGCATTCACCTACCATATGCAAGACAGTTTTTCAATGAAGTGACATATTGACAGAAGTGAGTTAAGAGTTTGTACTTCTAGTTGAAATACCCTCACTGTCAGCTTAATTCAGCAATTATTTCACTTTCTTCCACTGAAAATTTCATAGAATTCACTGAACAGATAAAAAAGCAAAATTCTATTTATTATAATTTCAGACAAAAAGAAAGTTTTAAAAATCATTGTCAAGGTGAATTAACCCATTGTAAACCATTGCTGGCATTTTGTTTTGTTTTTTCCTTTTCCAAAGAAGACTATATTGCTTTGATTTATACATTTCTTCACTGTGCTATCAAATGTGATACTGAATATTCCTCCTGAACCCAGAAAAATCAAGTATTTACATAGTTTATTATGAAAATACAATAGCAAAAGGAATAAACATGATTAATAATGAAAAATGAAACATAAAAATACTGTTTACCAAGTTTTGGTATTATAACACATTATTAACAAGTGATAGACTTTTTAGCTATTAATTTTTCAGACAAGCAATCCCCTTTTTATTGGATATTCCAAATTCAGTGTTTTGATCCAGATATGGATATGCCAAGAAAGAAACAGGAAAGAAACATGAATAAAGAATGAAACATTTCAGCTTATATTAAAGGAGGATCTTCATCACAAGGTTCTGCCCCATCACCATCTGCTATATAAACCGAAGTGAAGCAGAGCCATTGCATTAGATGACAGGCAGACACGTGACAGTAACAGGTACTTGTGCAGGAAATCTTAACAGTATGAATTCACAGTGTTGGTATAATTAATTTAGTATTACAGAACTAATAAGGAAACATTTTTTACATTTAGCTGAAGGAGGCAATGTTTGAAAAGTGTTTTCATATGAGAATTCTGAGGTGGCACATGATGTTTGGGCTTTTTTTTAATACTGTGTTTTCAATGAATGCTAACACCTATCAGCTAACACCTGCTTTTAAAGCTGTTATAGAAAACCATTTATCCTGTTAGCCAATACATTGACTTTTTTTAAGGAGCACAAATGCTTTATGTAGTTCTTTTCATCACAGGGTATAACCTGCCAGCATCCCTCTATACTAAACCATACTCCACAAGCTTCCCATGCAAGTACAGAAAATTTTGAAAAATAGTATTTGACTGAAAGGTCTGACATTAGGAACTCTGGTTCTGCCTATTGTTGTGAAAAAGGATATTTGCCTACTGTAATATTGTTGTTTTCTACATTAAACTTTCAATTTCTAAAACTGATTAAGCACAAGGAAAGCCAGCAGAAACAACATACGGGGGAAGACTGATTACCTTTATCAATGGAAAATAACCAGGAAAACTAAGAGTTACAAAATGAAGCAGGAACATAATACAGTAGGGACAGAGAACTTCTGCTTCCATCTGTAGCTTCACTCAGAGCCTGCAGCATGACATACATAGTAAAGTATTTTTCTGCATTACAAATACTCTTACAGCTCAGCCTTCTAGGACATAAAATTTATATTAAGAAATCAGTATGTAGCAAAAGCAGTCAATCATATTTACATTTATCTATTGTACAATATTTTACTATTAGAACATTGACTTCTATATCTGAACTATACTCCCTTAACTGATAACTTTACAGGCATAAATCGTTTTAGTGTAAGTAACAATGAAACACTAAGAATGCACATTGACATGGCACGTACTCTAACAAGAAATCACCTCTCAAAGTGCTCCTCAAATTCTAAAACAAAATTCAAATAAGCCAAAATATTTTTAAAACCTTTTCAAAATAAATTCCTTTCGCATGCTTCTTCTGTGCCCTTGTTCCATTGGATATCAGGGTAACGCAAGTATGAATGCATTTTGTTCATAAGAATAAAACATCTTTATCAAGAGGTTTAATTTGTAACTGTAGAATGGTTTGAGTTGGCAAGAACATTAAAGATTATCCAATCGTTCCAACACCTGCCATGGGCAGGGACACCTCCCACCAGACCAGGTTGCCCAAAGCCCTGTCCAACCTGGCCTTGAACACTTCCAGGGAGGGGGCATCCACAACTTCCCTGGGCAACCTGTGCCAGTGCCTCACCACCCTCACAGTACAGAATTTCTTCCTAATGCGTAATCTAAATCTACCCCCTTCCACTTTAAAGCCATTGCCCTTTGTCATTTCACTACATGCCCTGGTAAAAAAAATCTGAATATGCTTTCATAAGCAAATCCAAAACTAAGAGAAAACTCAAATGAAAGCACAGGTTCTCAGACAGTTCAGACTGCTTGAGACCTTTTATTCCTCAGTCTCAGAGACTGGTTTAGTATTCCATCACTTAACACACTACTGGGAAACAAGGAGGATGAAAGACTTTTCCAATGTGCCTTCTTTTAGTTTTTACTTCACTTGTGGTAACAAGCCTGTTAAAACATCCCAGGAAGTGGGGTTTTGGTTTGTTTGCTTTAATAAAATGAATTAAGCAAAATATATGCACTTGGATTAACCAAAAAAGTAAAACAAAAATCAGAAACATGATGAAGTAACAAGAAAACAAAGCTGTCTTTTTCCCATAAATGTAAGTTATTCCGAGAATAAATAAAAACACCAGCCTCTGTACCTAAGACAGAACTATGTCTTCTCTTCCTGTAAAGCTGTGGACATGCTTTCACATTAGGGATATATGCTCAACCTAGACATAAGAGCTCTGGGCACAGTGCCACGCATCATGGATGTCCACCTACCCAGAACACAGCTCACATCATTCTGGTTCAGAGTGCAGGCATACAAAACACTTTCACAAGCCTGTCTGCATAATTTTTGTCTTTGTAGGAAACTCTTCTGAATTTTGCTTTTGGATGTTCCTGTATTTATTCTGCTAAGGGTGGGGGGGGGGGAAAGCAGGCCGAGATCTAGAGGTAATGGTGGCCTGTTTTCCTGCTACTTCTTACTCTATTTTCACTAACCAATTTCTGCTGATGACTATAGAATAAGTGAGTCAATTCCCTGTTGGACAGAGCATGATCAACAAGTCAGCCGCTCTTGAACTTCTTAGGATTTATGCTGCAAAGCATACAGAAATGTACAAAGTGAAGTGTAATCTGGAAAAAAAAAAACCACTCAACTAATGTTCAGGTTTTTTCAAACCCACAAGAAAGAACTGTGATTTTCTTAATAAATCAAATAAGCCCTAAATATATGTCATTATACAAAGGTTTTCACTATCTGTGTTTTGCAATTGGACCAGTAAGAATAGAAGAAAACATCAGGTTTTATTAGAATATTAACAACTTTCTGGAGGTCCTACTGCATATTTATCAACATTAAAACAAGGTTTTAAAAGCTAATTGTGAGGACAGGGCAGGGAAGGAAGACACAGTGCTTATGTACCTGTTAAAACACAGCACACATCAGGCAGACATACAGCAAGTTTATCCAGGACAATGGTGTTTATCTTACAGTATTAATCTCACTGTTGATACATTTATACATAGTGGTTCCTGTTAAACAGGGAGTGTTGTATGAAGTTATAGTATATTTTTAAAATTACTTTGGAAGTTGAAAGTATCACTTAGAGTTTTCACAAGTCATAGACAGAGAGACAAAACCAAAACCAAGGTTTCTACTCCAACACATAATACAAAGTAGCATTATTTCTTCATACTCTGTTGACAGGACAGTATTACCTCTGCACCATAAAACTGGTTAAATACTTTGAACATAAAGAAAATAATTTTTTACCTTACAAAAGAACTTGAAAGGAGTCCAGCAAACCCTACTGCAGCTCCAATAACAGCTACTTTTCGACAACCAAACAGGTCTGTGAATATACTGACTATTGGAGAGCAGAAGAAGACCATTCCCATAGAAAGAGAGCTCACCCATGCTGCAAAATAGAAAAAGACAGTGTTTTAGAAGACCAAGTGATGTAAGCCTTCAGCCAGTATTTGTTTCAGTTCAGCAACATAAAGTCTTCATTAACAGTTGTGTAACTGGGTAACTATTTAAAAAATATTTAATACATTTTAAAATATATTTCCCTAACATGGTAAACAAAATAGCCCAACCAATGTTCATTATCAACTGATTTAGACTTTATCAGCTTAAGGAGTACAATTAGTGACAGAAGTTATTACTACTATTACTTTAAAAAAAATATTCCTCCAGTAACTTAGTATTCTAACTGATGACTAGGCCCTTAAAGATAACCTTGGAGGCTCCAGATCCATTCTGACATCAACTAGCACATTTCACTTTAATTCTAGACTTTAATGACCTTAAACAGCTAGGCTTGCTGAAAAAATTAACGCATTTTTAACTTAATTACACAGATCATAATGTTCATACCGAACATTAATAATGAGTAAACAAACAACAGCAGGCTTTTATTGTGAAATATACGCATTAGGAATACGATTTTACTTTAGACTAAAAGAACTTCAGCTAGTACAGCCATTTCCATACATAATGGAAAAATATCACTACATCTGATACTGCTCCAGCTTTACCAGCACTGTTAAAACCATACTTTGTTTATAAATGACTCTTTAGATCATTAAGATTCAGTTCAGGTGAGTACAATAAAGTTTCAGCCACAAATGTGGTTTTTATTACAAGTGTACCAAAAATGTCTTCAAATAACTTAAGTAGCAGAGAACTTGATTCATTTTAAATTAAGTCAACTTTCTGCTTCATTTCATACAGGTGTTCAGAACCACATCATTTACCTGCTATCGCCTAATCTTTCTTTCAAACATGCATTACTGATGTTACACCCAACAGTTCTCCCAGGGCATGAAGGTAAATCAAACTGCTGTAGCACAACAGTTACAACAACTTTATTCAGGTGGGTAAATGTCCCCATATAGTTGGAAAAAACAAACAAAAAAACCACCTGGCCTAAACAGGTAGTGGAAAAACCTGCTCATGCAAGATGCACTAGAAAAAACAATATTTTAACTTCTTTTCGTATTGTATGGAAGATGAAAGAACTCTTTCAACCTGAAATGGATTTAAATCCATGTAACCCGAATTCTTTACAACATCTTTCCTAAAGATACAGTTAGAGAAACAATTGTGGTTCAGTGAGTGGCAAATAAAATGATCTGGGGAAAAAAAATAACAAAGTGACCTAATGAAGAATATTTGCAAGTCTAACTACCAGTAGCAAGGCTCAGGAGTAGTGTTGTTAAAGCGTCAATGAGCCCTACACACTGGTGAAGACCCCATTGTGCAAAGCACTAATGAAAACAGAGCAAAACAAAGCAGCAAACAAAAAATTTTCTTCAAAGAGTCTTCATGTAAATGAAAGACAAAAGAGAACAGATGGCCAGAGAAAAATAGAAATGAGAGTGCAAGAAATAAAACCTTTCTTTTAGGGCAAACAATGATCTCAATGATCCATGACCTTACTGTTTGGGGCAGGAGAGGATGTTACTGGGGTTTTTTGAGCACATGATAAATGTTGTGGAGTTTCAAGGCACAATCTGAAGAAGAGGGAGATACTTTTATGGTATTTCTTGGGTATGACTGACTCCGACAATGTAGCCCTGCCAACCTTGCACCTCTACAGCAGCAACACGAGCAGTATAAAGGGAGAGCACAAGAGACCAGAAAGAACAAGGCCCTGCAACAAGACTCGTATCATAAGATTCGCTGTGGTGTTGAAGGTACCAAGGAGTGGTAGAGCCTCCTGCCAGCCTTCCTGCCTAGGTATGAGAAGACACCAAGTACTGGACAAGCCCAGAAATTACTGGTTATGAGAATCCAATCTCACATGGACAGGTACACGTACCCCATTCATGGGGACAAACAGGTAAAGAAATTGGCCAACAGAAGCAGAGTTTAAGTAGCTTGCATAAAGTAATACTAAATTAGTTCAGAGCCACAGCTACAAGTTCAGCAGTCCTAGTTTCCAGTTAGCACAGGCTGTGATTCAATTAGCATTCTCCTTAGTGAAATCTAAGGGTTTGCAGTAATTTTTAATGGCTTATACAGCTCATAATAATTGGAATATAAAAGCCTGAAGTGAAAACATTCAGCTCAAATTACACTGTTAACAACATGCTGACTTTGTCTCTTCGTGCTTCCAGGTACTAGTGAAAGAAATACGCCTTTCTTATCACTTGCTTCTCTCCTTTGTTACAGCAATGACAGGCTAAGCTTAAAAGCAAGGTTCCCACTGGTTTTTCTACACAACAGACAGTTAAGAGGAAGAAAAATGGCCTTATCTTAGGCGCTTCAGAAAGACACTGATTAAACTGCAGAAGTGAATGCCCAGCTTTACCACTTACCTACCTAATGGAAACTGGAGCTCTATAAACCACAACTTTAAGTTAACACAAGGCTCGTGTCCTACAGAAGTGTAACTTAGAGATGATGATGGCATATCTTGTATTAACAGCTTTAGTACTTAATGAAAAGACTATTCTCGAAGTTTAACTTCACATGTATGTGTAGTTCAAGAAAATTTACTGTATTCATCCTTTGTAAAGAAACCTAATACCAAAAAGAATTAAGATATAAACAGAACAGCACATCTGTAAATCATTAATTTCCTTAAGGCAAATAATTTTTGCTGCAATATCTTGATCCTATGAAGAAACTGTTGGCTATAAAATATATTCAATAGATCCAAGTAATTTTCAGTTTCACTTTGCTCAAGTAAGTTTTCAAGCATTCTTATACTTTTTCACTCAGTATGAAAAAGGTACAATGAATCATCTTCCACATTTTTAAATAGAAATTACAACACCTATCCCAAATAAGTAATATGAGAAGTTACACATGCAGCTTGCCAGAATAATGAGAGCTCTCTGGAGCAGTTATTACATATTAATTAAAACATTTCTTCTCCAGGCTATTGGCCGCTTTCCTGGCCACAAGCTGGCTATATTCCAGAGCTGCTAATTCAGATACTAATACAGCACCTAATTGCTACATGTAACTGCATTCATATTCATACACAAGGTATTCTGATTGCCATCGAAGAAAGGCTATTCCTACTCGAGGACTTAAACCTTCCTTAAGGCACTGGAAGTTAAGAATCAGCTCCTCAAAACATGTAATAGCAGAATAACCAATTCCCAAGCTTCTCTGGAAGATGGAACAGAAGTTACCTTTAAGATAAAAATATCAGACTTGAGACACTATTGGTAGCATCTATACCAAAACGTCTGTTTCTGTGCCATTTAAACACATAATAAAGTTTGGGCATTTTGTAATCTATTATAATAAAGAGGTATTCCAAAATGAAAAGTCACAGCTACGTATTTTCTTACCAGTTCACTACAAATGCATATACTTCAGCTATAATCTGAGTATACGTTCTCATATTTCTTCAATTATTTCTCTGTTCAAAGGTCTATGGCAATGAAACTGTATCACATACTCCACAAATAGGATGCTGTTTTACAAGTTTGAAAAAATCAGCCTTTATTTAAAATGTCTTTTGTGTTCAGCTATAAAAATAGTATCTAATATCTGAGCATTCACAAAATCATTCCCATAGTCACACCTAGATGACATCATATATTTTTCTACCAAACTATGAACCAAGCTCTTAAATGTTTTAATTCATTCTTTCAACTCAAGGACTTATAACCGAAAAGCAAGCACTAATACCGTACCACATTGAAATATTTTATTGTTCCTAAACTTAAATAAAGGCCACTCATCCATGGCATTCCTCTTTGCAATCAATTTTCTATGCATTACAATAAGAATTGTATAATTTTTATCCTTACAAAAGTCTTTCAAGTGGTTGGCTTAACACCCTTCAGTCTTTAATGAACCTCAAGAATTTTTTTTTATAGTATCTTTCCCTGAGATTTTTCTGGTTGAGCCAGGGAACAAAAAGCTGCTGCTGGGAAGACAAGTGATATGAGGCAAGTGAAGAGAAGAATATTTAAAGTGAGGATTCAAAACTCAACTCAAAAATATTTTGTTTTACCACATTAGAAAAATCGGATACTTGTATTTGTGTAGCTCAAACCAAGACAGCAGTAAAGTTACAGTTCACTGGATAGCTTGCAGAATGATCTGTTTGGCACTACACATACTAAGACAGAAGCGCAGGCTGGAAAGTGAGAGGGAGCTTTGTACATTTAATATAACAGATTTTCATGTGCAAAGACCTACAGCTACACTGCTAAGCGCTTGCAAAACAGACTGGCCCAACATGCCCTACACCAGTACTCACTGGTCAGGCAGCCTTCCTAAAAAATCAGTTCTCCCATCATCTCATTATTTAACCCACTACAGTAGTTCAGGCCATGCTAGGCTGCCAGCACTTAAGTACAAACTATAATGATGCTGGATAATGAGAAATTCTCACAATAACTCATAATGAGCAGAAAGTACAGAATCAGAGAAACTGCTGCAGTCAATCCCTTGATTTAGAGGATGGCAATAATACTTCAAACTGAAAGGGTATTAAATTCTTCTTGTTTTGTGGAAAGTACTCTACAAGCAGATTTCTAAGAAAGAAATTACTTTAAAATATTGTGTAAAATAAACAATATAGGACAAGTTATATGAATGGCAGATGTTTAGACATGTTTCATTATCTCACACTGAAAAGGTTTGTGCAGAAGTAATCTGTTACAATAAAATCATAATGCAAAGTTAATACAACTGCTTAAATAATGGCACTTAACTTCTGAAAGCTCAACTTTAATAACATCTAGGAGGGTTCTCCATGTATTTTATAAAAATACTTGGAGAAAATGGAAGGACAATTAAAATCGTCATTCTTCCACGATGTTATTAGTTATGATTTATGCAAGAGTAAGGAAGCCAGTATGTACTTTCCCAGCTTCAAACCATTAACAGCTGAGGGACTTTCTAAACCAGGTTTTTTTGTTTTTTTTTCCTACTGAACAAGTT